CCCATCATTATCAATCATTAGTTGAGGAAAAGGTACCATTTAGGTTACAGCATGTGGAAACTATTTGGATCATTGATGCATAAAACACATCTGTCCTCTTTTCTTAGTTCTTTAGCATATGAATGTGGTATATTATAGTTTAGTCTAATAGCTTCTAACTTTGGATCCTTAGGCCAAATCCATTAATATAATTTAGATAGACTAGGGAATATATTTATGGACAGAAATTATGCCTTCTTAAGGCCAATGGAGAACTCGTGTAATAAGGAATACTTATGATTTGATTTTATAGTCAGTCTATTAAAACTCCTATAAAAAGTTTATCTCTACCATACTTTGCTAGCCCTGTAAAGTCCACTTATATTATTTAAATGTTATTTTTATATCTAGTATTATAGATTATGCTACTAAGGAACAAGATTCGGATAACCACACTGAGATTCTGGTGGGAATAGCAGCAATTAAATGTGTGTCTAATAGCTCATAATTTCTCAGAAAACACAATTTTAGTTTCTTATTCATTTAAGAAATTTACTTCAATTGTTATATTTACCTTTTGTAATAAAACTTGAAATAAGAATATATTTTATAGAAATATTCTATCTAAACTTAAAACTAATTGGACAATTCTATAATGAAAACGCTGATTGTTTAGAAATTTGTTCTTTCTTCTGGGAATATACTTGTGTCCTGAGAGATTCGAATATAGCTATAATTAAAGAGCATCTAAATATATGGGAGGCTAATTAGAATCAATTTGAAGTAAAGTTGATTATTTACTGAAAACACTGGCTAAAGTAATTTCAGTCCAAAAGTTCAGGAAGAAATAGCCTCAAAAGTATAGAGTAGGAAGACAGTGCCATTTTATGATACAACTTAAAACTTTGGAGCTATTTGTGACATAGTCTTCAAAGGACTTAATAGGGATTATTTTGATTTAATCTAAAGACATAGTCTCAAAAAATGCCAACAGATTTCTGATTAAAATCTCAATTTTCTACACCAGGGAGTCTGAGTCTTAATTCTTAGAGTATCTGAGATTTTTGGTGTCTTTAGAGTAAAATACTAGGTATTTTCCATTGAAATATTGAAATTGCCAATGTGGAAAGAATGTAAGTCAGTAACAACACATTACACAAACAGGTGAGAACCAATACTCTGGTTTGGTAATCTGCATTTTCTATCTGGCTTATGAAAGACACTATACCCCTCATATACAAACATAAGCCACATGTTTTCACACACACACACACACACACACAACACACACACACACACACATATACACACACACATACTCCCCACAAAAGCAATGCATTTTCTCTGTAAAATGTATGAATAAGCTTAGTGTCCTGGGGGAGCTGTACACTAAGAAAGGGTTGAGGGAATCAAGCCATGGGAATACAAACTCTTGCAGGTGAAGTGAGGTAAGGCTTCCCAGAAGAGATGAATGAAAAGAGTCACGGTTTCAGCAGTTAAGTAGGAAGGGTGTTTCAGGGAAAAATAACGAAATTCAATGTCTGTGAGGGTTAAAATAGACAAACAGGAAAAATAAAACATGAGAATGGTCAAAGCTTGAGGCAGAAGGGGGGGTGTAAGCTGAGTACTTGAAAGGAAAGGGGAATCATGTAGTATCCATGTTACTAACATACATCAAGAAGTGACTGGATTCAGGTTTCCAGGAAAGTGCCTCAAAGACAACTTTAACACACTCAAAATAGTGCTTGGAAAACATTAGAATAAATACTGAGAACAATGGAGAAGTTCTGTTTTCAGTTAAACCAAGTAGCAAGGGGGGTACTCATTGCAGATTCCAAATGAAATGTGGTAAATGATGTTCTGGACTTGCATGGTGAAAATAATGATGCAGAAAGTTATGAGAAATGTGTAAAGGACGAGTAAGAAGATGTGGTGGCTTGTGTGGAAGAAATGAATGGCAGGAGATAATGAAGAATTAACTGTCTCTCACACTTCTTTGGGGCCACAACAGTTGGATGGATGGATGGGTAGATGGTAGTTTTAATCATTAAATTATATTTCCTGTGCTACCATTTAACTTTTTGTGCTGTCAAACATGGTTTTCACAAAAGGAGAAAATATAATTACCTGCCTTAGGCATGTATTTAAATACATACACAAGGCTAACAAATGTATACTCTCAATGAATGTTTCATTACCTGATATGTAGAAGACACCCACTGTTTCCTTGAATGAGATGCTCTTTCCCTTGTAATTAGTGTATGTTAAAAGTCAATAGTGAAGTTGTTTTTATGGAAAAAAAAGGGTATCATTTAGGAAAGAAATGTGATTTTAAATTAAGGAAGACTTGGACTAAAAGTTGTTATACTCTATAATCTATGGAAGTTTATTAAGTTGGGGGTGTTTCCTTGAATCGGGGATGAAAATCAATATGTAAAACAGCTTGTATATTGCATTTCAAGCAGCAGTCACTCAATCTTGCGGCAATTACCTATTTTTGCACTTGCTATTCTTGCTTAAAGATGAGCATGTTTACCTCAGAGACATGGTCTTTCACACTTCTTGGCTTTTCAAATACACAGCAAAGTGCCCGCACTTGTCGTGGAGTAAAAAATACTTGCTGCGTATATAAGCATGTCTACTGACACATAGAAAGTTTATTTTTCATCGTAAGAAACAAAAATCTCCACAACATATTAAGACCAGTGTCCCATCACCTTGACCTAAAATGGCTGATTTAGTAAAAAAAAAAAGATGCACCCCTTGTTTCACTAGAGGGCACCAAATCACCAAATCATCAAATCATTGTTCTAAAACAGAAGCAGCAAGAGGGAATGGGGTGGTGAACAGATAGGGAAAGGGGCAAGCCTGGTTATCATCTCCATCAAGTAGCTGTTGGTGATCTCAGGGGGTGTATAAGAGTGTTAAACATGCTTTATTGAACAAATTTTCACAAGCGTATAATTATATTCTGCATGTCGTGAAGTCTGATGAAATTTAATTAAGCGCAGGGGACTTAATTCTGTTCAGTCTCTCAGAGGAGAGAGTGAAATACTTTGGAAAAAGCATCATTGTACTTCACTCAGGCCACAAGGGTGCATTGCTGTGGAGCGTTGTCTAGTTTCTACTCCCTGCAAACTTTCAATTTTTCCACGGGGCGGAGGGGGGGGGGCGACTCAATTTGCCTTTGTAGCCTGCAGGACTTGTAATTCCCTGAGGGCCTTGATTACTGTTTGGGAGTGTCATTGAAGCCAGGGAAGCTAGTTTAATTTTCAATTCAGATTTATACACTGTGCCTTGTGACATTTGACTTAAACCTAACTCCACTGGGGAAGGAAATTGAGGGAAATGCATTCACAACTGTGTAATTTGATTCTCACTCCCCGCTTCATTTCTACCCACTGATATCAGCTGTGTGTTTAGAGGCGTCTGAGAAGAGTGAAGATGCTAGTGATGGCTAAGCCTTCTTGCTCATTATACTAGATTGTAATCCTCTCTCTCTCTCTCTCTCTCTCTCTCTCTCTCTCTGTGTGTGTGTGTGTGTGTGTGTGTGTGTGTGTGTGTCTTTCTGAACATTATAGCAAGTCGATTTTAGAATTTTTGTAATGTTGAATCCATGATATGTTCCCCTCTATCCTTTGTGTTTATGGTTCTATTGTTAATTAATTCCTATTTTTCCTCTCTCCAAAAATTCTATGGTGTGATGTTTTGATATTCTTGTGTTTGGAAGATAACAATGATTATGAAGTTAAAAGGATTCTCAGGAGATGAATGCATCTAACTTGTACCAATACCAAGAAATGTAGATACTAAGTCAAATATATTTGAGTTAAACCCTAACCCAGTGACAGCTTGATATTATATGCTTTAGTTTCTGTTTTGCTGTGCACGCACGCACACACACACACACACACACACACACACACACACACACACACCACAATACCATTTATCCATATATCATCTAACCATGTGTGCTTTTACTGGGTATCTATAACTCTATTTCTATGTCTCTCTGTCTCTCTGTACCTATCTATCTCTGTATCTCTGTATCTGTTTATCTATCTATCATCTATCATGTATATCTGCCTTCCATCTATGATTTAGATTATCTGTTTAAAACTTCTCTGTTCAATGATGCTCAATAAGTGATAAATTGATCTAAAGAGTGAAGAGAACAAAATGACATTCTTTTTGAGACAAAACCCATAAATTTATCACATCATTATGCTAAGTAGCTCAGAGGCAATGGCTCCTGATAATTGGAAGGAATTCATGAAATAGTTGAACTACAGCTTAGTCTTTATTTTCATGAGTTTTATACTTTCAAGTTCAACCAAACAGGAATAAAAAGGATTTGGAAAACAATTTCATCTGTACATGCACAGACTAATTTTCTTGTCAACTTTATATAAACCATATTTATAGTGCATTTGGACTGCACTGAGTTTTATAAAGAATCTAGAAATTACATAAAGCATATGGAATGGTATTCATAAGCCATAGTTACTTACCATACTGTCTTAACAACTATACATTTAGTATTTGTAATGGCTATTAACGCACTGCTGAGTTTTCAAAGTTTTATAGATACACCTCAGTTAAATAAAAGAACAAATATTTTATTACTTCAGAGAGATGAACACAGATGTTATTTTTTGATTATTTTAGTCTATTGGTTGTTAGAGTACATGTATCATAGTAATAAAATTCAACACATAAATTGTTCTGGGTTTGACAGGATTTAAAAATAAATAAATGAACACAAATAAAAGAAATATTTGTAGCCAACAAAGCTGTTTATATTCAGCAGACTACTTATCTGAAGTCACAGCGCCTTGGCGCTGCAGAAATTTAAACAACAGTTCTCAGCCATAAATGACTAAGGAACATTTGGTCTCTTGTCTCTGGGTTGACTATCTATAACTAGATCCTTTACTCTGAATTCTCTCAGTGTAAGAACACAGTCTTCAAGGAAACTGAAAATCATGACTTTAGAAACCCAATGGAGCTCTACTCACTTAGCTTTTTCATGCAGTCACGCAGCCTGGTCTCCAAGCTGAGGACCCTTTGGTGCAGTTCTTCATAGTCATAGGCACCGATTTCCTCCTGAATCCCAGTGAGGACTGAGGACAGATTCCGAATTTCCTCCTTGAACTGTGTGATGAGCTTGGCATCTGTTTTGTACTGCTCCAAAACTGGGATCAGGGGCAGTAGCTCATCCATTTTCTCCTTCAGTTCCTGTGGGAAGCAGCAGAGCATTTCCAAAGTATTTCAAAAAGAAAAAGCATCTGTGTCCATTATGGTACAAGTAAAGGAGTTCATTGAAAGAGCTTCAATGTTCTTCATTTTTCTTTTTTTGATTGCTGTCAGGTAGGCTTTGATAATGAAAGTAGCCATATGACAGTTAGTAATAAATTTGCCTATCTCAGCTTGTTATCAAATAAACCTCCCTTTAAGAGGTTACGTTCTTCGATATAAAATAAATCAATCTTTATCATAATTAGAAAAAAACTTTTTATCATAGCAAATATGGTCTTTTGTGTTATCTTACTTTCTGCTAGTTTTTTGTAAAGTGAACAATGCATCATGTAGGAAGCAGAGACATGATCCCTTTCTCAATGATGCATTGATTGGCTGTAATTGAAAGAGGTCAAGCATTCTATGAGAAATTAGTGAAAATGAATTATCCCACTACTGACTATCCATGCCATAGAACTATAAAGGAAACTTTTTGACTCTAGATCAACTTTTTCCTTGATCTTAAGACTATTTCTAGCCACGGCCCTGGACTCCTTTATCTTTTATTTGTGCTCAGGTATTCTTTATCCTTTGAACTATCCAACTTCGGACAACTTCATTAGATGGTAAGTTCAACTACATGATAAATCATACCAAACTTCCTAAAGATTGAGGAGATATTTACTTCTATTTCCATTTTGAATTATTGGCCGCACTCTGTCTTCATTTGTCTTATAGCATATTTAATTTAGGTATCACAGAAGGCAGAATCGCTTACCCACTTGTATAGTAAATTAACTCTTTAAGGGAACAAGGTGCACCGTTTATATAACAGTTGGGCCAGCTACGTAGAGCCGTTCAACATTTAAACACTGAATTTTGTCATGGGGCCAAGCAGTGTATGTTGTCAATCAATGTCCTCCATTTTAGTCATCACAAGACTATGCCACAACTTCATCTTTACCTGCAACTTCTGTACTTGTCACCCATAACCCTTTCCCTTCAACTTGGTAGCTGCTGTGGACACAAAGTATTGCAGGACCTTGATTCAACTGAATTTATTGCAGATGATGTAATTGGTTGAAGGAGTTCCAAACTTATGATCATTTGAGAATAAACATAGGTGCTATCAGAAGCCACACAGTATAATTATTTAAGGAACTGAAAATTGCATTTTTAAGTTACACTTAGAAAATGTTATTACTATAAATACATTTGAGAAGCAGAAGCTCCCATTGTTGCCCTGATTAATGGGCTTGTGTTTCTTGTGGAGGGATTTTTATGTACTGTATAAGTCTGGAAATCTTTGAATTAGTCTATATGTACACATTAAATTGGAGGATAAAAAATGGAAAAGATTCATAACTATTGCAGTCAAAAGGCAGAACTGCTGAACATTGCTCATTGTAGGGCTCATCTTGACATGAGCTCATTAATTTAAGCATCTTTTGGCACCTCTAAAGGGAGATACAATTGTTTCATTAGAATTTTAATGATAACAGCTTTGCTCATACCATTTGCTGCAAATTATAACAATAGCCACAATGAAAACCTTTTTATTTTACAGTTGGGTGTATTCAAAGGAGAGATCTTATGTCAAAATTTGGAAAGTATCTTGTCTTTGATGGATTGCAAAATTATTTATTTTTTTAATCTTTTCAAAAAGATTTAAAAAAATCTTTTGATAATTGACTAGACTTTTGGCTATTAATTAGTAGAGGGCTAATAATCAGGGTATCTTGCGAGCAACAATTGGTCTCATTGCCATGGGTAGCTTAGTTTTCCTCATGAAAGGTCATAAAAGTAAAAGTTAACAGTGTTTGTCATGAGATAAAAATTTGGTAGCAGAAGAGAGGATTTTCTTCTTCTTCTTTTTTTTTTCTAACACAGTATTTTCATTTTAAACTTGGTTTTATAATGTTCTTCTAGCATATGTTATGTTGGTACCTAGAGGGAAATGTGATGGTTGATGTAACTCAGTGAAGAAATGAGTTTCCTAAGCATGTGTTGAACCTCTAATTATTACTCTGATTTAGATGCAGGGGGATGAGATAATAAATTTGGGGATTTGGACAGGTTTGTTGATGTGCATATTGTATGTTTGTATATATGTATGTTTGTGTGTGGATATGCATTTTGTGACTATTCATGTGTATGTGTGTATGTGTACATCATTGTGGAGGCCAGACTTTGATGTCAAGTGTCGTTCTCAATCATTCTCTGCTTTTGATTTTTTTCTAAGATAAGAGCTCTCAATGGGTTAAGAACTTACCTACTATGTTAAATTAACTATCTAACAAGCTTCAAGGTATATATGCTTTTATTTCCTAATGTGGAGGATACAGTGCATCCCCCAAATCCTACCCCCTTTTCATATATTCTGGGGATCTAAAATCAAGTCCTTATTCTCATATTGCAAGTAATTGACCAAGTAAGGTGAATTTGCAGTTGTTATTACTTTAATTTTAATTCAAAGAACTAATTTTTCACTTCAGACCTACTGGTCTGGAGCTAAGATGTGTCAATTTGAATCTTCAGTCAGATACAAGAAAATGTACTCACAGTTTTTGTTTTAATTCATCCTGTAGAGATAAAAACAAGAAAACAATGCTTGCCTCACAGGATTGTTATGATGATTGAATCAATAAATATATGAAAGTGTTGCAAACTTTGCTGTGAATATGTATGTTCAGAAAAATGACTATTGTTGTAATTACTGATATTTAGATTTCAGTATTTCCAACATATCCTTCAATTATATGAACTGTGAAAATAAAAATCACAATCACGTGGTACTTCCTAAAAATTCTATTTTCTTGTTGATATCATGGCTTTTACTAAGCAAAAAACCGTATTCACTAGGATGAATTTTTTTGGGGGGGTTTCTTTCAGCTTTATTTCTTTGTTTCCTGAATCTACAGCCCCAGTCCTGCTGACCCAGGGAAGATGACATGGTTTTTTGGTCCTACCATGTCTTCTGTGCTCCTGACTTGAATCGAGAGCTATAGCTCTCCTGCTGCTGTCCTTCCTGGGATTGATTCTCTCTTCTGCCTTAGTATTTACAAACTCCTACTTTGATAACAACACATCTCCAGGTTGTAGACAGAAGTTTCTATTCTACCTGATTCAGCAGCCATTTAGTGCCAACTAATCACACAGAGGCTAATATTAATTACAAACTGGCCAATAGCTCAGGCTTCTTATGGGCTTTCTCTTAACTTATTAACACATTTCTATGAATCTATGTATCTCTACATTGTCTTGACTTACTGGTGATGTCTGCCCCTCTTTCTCCCTCAGCAGCTCTGGAGGCTCCCCCTTCTCTCACTTGCTCTTCCTAGCATTCCTAGTCTGATAGTTCTACCTATACATCCTGTCTGGCTATTGGCCAAAATAGCTTTATTCATCAACCAATAAGAGAAACATACAGCAGGATAGCCCCCATCACCAGGTTCACATTGTTACTATGTTATGAGTGGTTTTCCTTGTAGTCTGGTCCCACTGCCCCACCATCCCCAAATAACACACAGAGACACTATATTAGATATAATTTTGTTCGCCAGTTACTAGTTTCTTATTGGCTAGCTCTGTCTTAATTATTAATCCATTTCTATTAATCTAAGTATTTCCATGTGGTCTCATCTTGCCAGAGAGAGGGGCTGGCGTTCTGTTCTCTCTGTCTTCCAACTTGAATCTCCTCCCTACTACTTCCTCTCTCTCCCTCTTCTCCTAGTTCTGCCAATCTTGCTTTTCTGTTGCCCAACAGTGCTTTATTCATTAACGAATATGAGAAACATATTTACAGAATCACATCTCCCATTATTACTTCACCATCTATCCTCTAATTCTAAGCATTCAAAGTGGACACTGGGACTCTGTAAATTTCTAGGTCCCAAAGGGAGATGTCATTTTGTAAATATGTTTCTCTTATTATTTAATGAATAAAGCACTGTTTGTTGGCAAATAGAAAGGCAAGACAGGCGAGACTAGGAGACAAGGAGGATTCTTGGAAATGTAGTAGAGAGGAGTCAAGATGTAGGGACGTGAGAGAAGAGGTCCAGACCCTCTCTCCAGTAAGAAAGGACCATGTGGAAACACTTAGATTAATAAAAATTAGTTAATATTTAAGACAAAGCTAGTCAATAAGAAATTCTAGTAACAGGCCAACAGTTTTATATCTAATATAATATGTCTCTGTGTGTTACTTGGGGCTGATGAAATTCTGGGGACAGGTTGGTGGGAAAGTGTTGGTAACAAGATCCTTTTTGGAATTTAGTATCTGGGGAAAGGAGGTCATACCTAGCAAGATTTTCTTGGACACTGATATATCCCTAATTCTTCAGTAGATCTCCAAGGCACAAATAGATAAATCTTCTCTGTGTACTCTTAAATGATGCTTAGCCTACTATATTTTCTTGTAGGTTGTCTTTCATGGGAGGAGCTTGTGCTTCATTCCCCCAAGAAGGGCCTGGACCTGCTTCACAGAACATATATTCTGAATAAATTCTGCTTGACATGGATTCCTTGGTCTCAAACCTTATCTTTTTCTCTGTTTATCTTTTCACACTTTTTTCTGTTAATCTAGCTCAGAGTTTTATTTCTTATAATCTTCTAGTATATTGTGTCATCTATGACTTGCTCTAAATCTTTCTCCTTTTTTGGTCATGTTTAAGTCTCTCTTCATCTCAAGTTCCATGATTCAACCACTTCAATGTTCTCTCTTGTCAATATTCTTGGCTTTTTTTAATCCTCTTTTTCTTCATTTGAAACTGAATAGGTATTGATGTCTATTGACTATACCTCTGTCCTTAATTTTGAGGCTACAGAATATTCTAAAACATTATGATTTCTACATCATTAAAAGGTACCTTGCAAGGATCCTGTTTGTTTGTGACTATTTCTCTATTATGGCACAAATAATAAAACCCCAGAGACAGATATTGCAATTAAAGCTCAAGACCAAAGGGGCAATCCTGTCCTCAGATTGCATTTCCAGACTCCATTGCTATTCCAACTGCAATGTTCCTTAGACTGTCTAGACTGCATCTCTCTCTTCTCTCCTCCTGTCATTTACTCTTCTCCCTGCCAAGCCATATAACTTGTGTCTCAACTTCCTTAGTCCTGGGATTTAAGGTGTGAGCTCTGGTTTTCTTTTAGACCTTTTCACTCTCATGTAGCCCAGCATGGTCTTGAACTAACAGAGATCCATCTGCTTCTGTCTCCTGAGTGCTGGGATTAAAGTTTTGTACCACCACTGCCAGGCCTCTATGGCAGTGGTTAGGTTTGCTTTCTGATCTTCTGGCAAAATTTATTTGTTAAATAATAAACAAAATATCACCGTACTATATATGTCTCCACTATGTCAAAATCCTTGACCACAAGCTTGAATTCAAGTAATTCCTTTTACACTAGCATTGAATATTACTCTGTAGTTGACAGAGAGGAAAGAGATGTTACATGTGAACGACCTTAATGGTTTTGAAAACTTTTCTCCATGCTTTTTTAAGACATAAATTATTTTAATAGAGGCTCAAATGTCATTATTAGACCAAGAAGGATTTTAAATAAGTGACTCTGTTGTATATTATTAATAAAGTCTGCATAGCATGCTCAACACATTTTTTCCTCATTTCTATTTTCTAGACAACTGATATTAAGACACATGTAACCTTTAAAAAGGAAAATGTTTGTATAAACTTAGGAACCTATTCTTTTAAAAATTCTTTATAACTGTTATCATTTCTTCCTTTAAAAATTAACATCCTCAAAAAGTTACATTCTTCACAGTTCTCATTCCAACAGAGCATAAAAACACTTAAAAAAAGCTTTGATGACTTAATAATTCATATTTGTGATAGTGTCCTTTTGTTATAGATGGTAAATTACTTGCAAATATATCCAGAAATTCCCCATATCTTGGGATGGGGGCAGATTTTGTCATAGCAGTTTTCTATGTGTTTCTAGCTGCTAATGGTTACTTTTTACTGATAAGACAGTTAACTCTCCAGTGAGCCCTTAACCTTGTACATAAGGGCCAAGACAGTTATTTCCAGCTGAGTGACATTACCACCTGCCTACTGCACTGGGTTGACAAGATTGGAGGACTCACACCTACCTGAAAATGCTTGGTCATTAGTGTCTTCCGGTCATCTTCAATCTGCCGAAACTTGGCTTTCAGCCCTTTCATTTGGGTTTCCATTTTTAAGACATACTGGAAATCTCTCTGAGTTCTCAAGTTTAAGACTTCTATAGATTGAGACATATTCTGCACCTGTCAAACAAAGTCATTGGTTGTACATCATTCTCTGTTTATGGACAGATGCAGTCTCTACTAATTTATTAGAATGTTATTAACATGAAGAACAAAAGTACCAAATCTATAAATGCATGTCTGCCTGTCACATGTTCAAGAAGATTACTTTCAGTAAATACTTGAAAATTGAGCCAAAGGAAATTATACCTATGCATGTCATAAAAATTGGACATGTATCATTAGAAATGACCCCAAAAGCAAGAAGACAGTAGATTAGAAAAGAAGTAAAATTTGTTTCATTCCAAGGCTTCATACAGTTATAATACCCTAGGGTGATGCATACTGAAATAAAATGTGTCTGTAAATGCTGTTTCTTACCTCTGGAAAGTCAGGGGTACTTAGCAACAGTGTATGGTAGTAACAGATCCAATAGAGTTAGAGTTCAACCATTTTGAGGCTGAAGAATAAGGAGGAGAGTGAAATAGAGACTTTGTAAAGGATGAAAAAAAAAGTATATAAAAAACCATTTGGCAGAGAGAAAGGCTCATGCCCCCATTCTCCATCACTCAGTTCCCCCTACCCAGCAGGTGCAGAGCATCCTCAAACTATCTGAAGCTTGTCTATTTTTTGTTACAATACTAGCATACATCCCAGGGTGGAGCTTTAAAATGCTAAGGACAGTTACAATGCATGAACTATTTTGCAGAGCTGAGTGTTGCAGAATATGTGTAAGAAATCCTATACAGATGCAAATGAGCACGAAATGCAAATGATCCCCAAAAGCCCAGGGTGTAGCATAAAAGCCTGTTTCCTTTGTTCAGTGAGACACATAGCTACTGAACTTCCCCTCTTTGCTCCAACCCACTTCCTCCCTTGAAAGCATTTACTTTCCTAACAAACCACTCTCCGCCTCTTCTGTATCACGGTATCTCTTCTCAGCTCTTCATTCTAGAACACAGGAACGTGGATTCCCTCCAGATGAGCTCACTGAACCCTGATATCAACTCATGTTGATTTCAACACATTTACATCGTAATGGTTATTCTAAAGTATTCTGAAGGGTGAAACTGAGTTGGATCAGGACAAATGCCTAGTTGAAACACTTTCTAAATTGCACAGCTTATGTGTGAAGGACTTGGGAAATGGCAACAACATTAAGTTCCTTATAGATAGAAACACATGTTAAGCTGATGGCACTGACCCAGGTTCATTGAACCTCAGGATATTTAGAAGTAGGAAATAGTTGACCTAGAAAAAATGCAGAGATGATGAAAGGCTGCTCTAATTTTTGTGGTAGCAAAAATCTGAAAACAAAGGGGAAGCCTCTAAGAGAGGGAAACATTTGAATGAAAAATAGTATAAGTATAAATTATTCTAAAGAATAAGATAGATCACTACACCTCTGGTACTTTAATGCTATCTTCAGAGCAGCAACTTTAGCTTCACCTGGAAGCTTGTCAGAGATGCAGCATTCCAGAATTATCTCAAAGACACTCAATTAGTCTGCATATTTATCTAGATTCCCAAGTGATTCCTACAGTTGACTTTTAGAGCTTGAGATGCACTGTTCATCTAGGCAGGGTTTCTACATGTGATAAATGTAATATGATACAGAATTAAATCCTTTGTCATAAATGAAATACATCATGCAAAATATAATATAATCTACTGAGACTGAGAAAAATATCATGAAGAAATGCACATGGAAGAATTAGAAAAATAATTAGGTGATAATATGAAATATCTGAAAGAGGAAAGACCTTTGAACACGCATGTATTATACAGTATGCGTATATAAAGCCATTTTGGTTAAATGGTATTTTTGTTTGTATAGGTTATCGCACCAAGGCATGAGCACAAAAAAGCTGATAGGATTGCAAGTATTTTTTTTTTGTTTTAGGTAGTGAATATGTGTTTTCATTTATATTTCAGTAAATATGTATTACTTCATAATCAGTAAAAGTCTGGCTTAATTGAAAAAATAGTGAACTATAAGTGGATAACTTGTTCAGAGGTAGACTTATCCACCAGGTAAAGTTACTAAGCTTAATGTACACACCAGATAGCTATAAAGAGAGCCAAGTTGATACATTCCTCCTAACTGTCATTTTTAGAAGAGTCAGTGAGTTCTGGTGCCCTGACTTGCCTCTGTTCTTTACCTCTTGTCAGACAAGTCAATTTTTCTTTATCCTTTTCCTCTTTTGTCTTGATCCCTAGTTCTCCCCTATGTTCATCCTGTCTGTTTCAAACATGTCATAGTCTGGCTTACATTAAAAGTCATTTGCATTGTGTGCTTGGACAATGTCAGCAGAAGGCCCTTGGTCTGCAATCCTCATCAAAGACTGTGCCTTGCATCTTTTACTTTCAATATGTTACTTAGAACCAGACACAGGATAAAGCTCAATAAATATTTCCTAAGTAAAATCATCTTGGGTTTCAAATAGTGTAATGGTAATTAGAATCTTATTATTTTAGGGAGAGTTTTTCTCTGCCTATAACTGTCAGACACAGCAGTATATTACTACAAGTATTTCTTAATTTTGAAATTATTATTATATTCAGAAAGCTTCATATAGAATTTTTTAGTGCAGTATGAAATTAGAGACAGCATTGAACTCATGGAGACTTCATCACGGATAAAAGCATTGCTTTCAAAGTAATTTTCTAACCTCAATTAGAGTTAAGCATGAATAAAGAAAAGCATTAGCATTAAAGAACCTGGCTACTTATTTAAATATGTAACTGTCTGTGATGATACTGGTCATTAGCATGGCTGATATCTTCATAAGAATTTTCTATACATAGTCATATTCCACACAATTAGAAGATTATGGGCAACAGGAGATATTCTGAATAGAGTTAGAACAGTGTCCCTTATTTTATGTTCTACTCTAGCATCACATTTAAATTTTCAACTTAATTTGTGTTATTGGAAATGGTTTGGGAGAACTTTGGATGAGACTTGGTAGTTGTGACCTCCTATATTATACAGCATTGAATAATTGCAGAACTATTTCTGGGTCTAAATGAATGGGATTTGACTCTGAGTTGCACTTAGCTCTTCCTAGGAAGGGTTCTCTCCTATTGTTGGCAAATCACTTGAGCAAGTTTCTTAATGATACTGGACAATGCCTCCATATAACTAACTAACTAACTAACTAACTAACTAACTAACTAACTAACTAACTAACTAACAGGAAGGAGACCTGTCAGCTCTCTTACTTTTTTTCACTCTGCTACTCTGAGGCCACTCTACAGTTTAGCTTTTTAATTGTTGCTTGGGTTTCTGTTATATTTTGAAAACTAGAGGGCATCTCAAGGTTTTATTTATTTAGATTATAGAATTATTTTAAGGCAGTCTGGATATTTAAGGGGTAGTGCTAGCTGGAGGAAGATAGGTTTCTAGGTGTTTGTTGATAAGGAGTATATCATGTCTGTATTGCTTCAGTGTCCTCTTTCCCTGCTTCCTGTATGCTGATTCACACTACCACATGGTTGCATTCATGACATTCTCTTTTATCACAGCTAAGGAACAACAGGGTCAAATGACCATGGAACAAAACTTCTAAAACCATGATCCAAAATAAATTCTTCCTCTTGAAGGTTGCTTTTCTAGATATTTATCACAACTATGAAATTCTACTAAACAACTCCTACAATGTTTGGCAACATCATCTTTTCCCATCTCTGAAAATCATCTTTTGAACTATTTTTCCTTTTTTTATGAATAAAATGCATGAAGTCTATCTGAATGAACATGAATGTATTTCTACTCTCAGTTACAATTGGTACTCAGACCATTTTATACTAAAAAAAAAAATCTATGTCTCATTATGTTTGTTTAGCTTTGCTTTAACAAAAAGAACAGCATTTCCTTGACTGTGGAAGTATGGTGTTATACTGCTTTTGAAATCTTCAAGGTGAAGAACTATGTATAGTGTACTGAATTGATTTTATTGGTGAAAATGTTGGCCACATCCTAGTCCAGAATTTAGGAAATATTGAACTAGGCAATGAAGTATACCCTTAGGAATGTATAAAAACTATGTAGCTCACAAGTAAAATTTTAGGCCAACAATTTTATTTTTGGTGCATCAAGACACAGAGTATTAAATTAGATATATTCTTTTTTAGTAATATACATATTTGTTAATGCATCAGAGAAAGATAGAATCTCTTAATTAAGTGTTGATATCACTAGTGATATGGAGAATGATATAAAATCTATATAAAAGCAACCTCATATAACTCCACAGCCTGTTGGCTAAGGGGTATTGAAAGCCTGAGAAAAGAAAAGATTATTTTTATACAAATTTAGAAAATGAATCATGTCTTGTACAAGGATTGAATGGATATAAAGAACTTAAGACGCTAGATACCAAAACACCAAATAATCCAATTTTAAAAATGAGGTACAGCTTTAAACAGAATTCTCAATAGAAGAATATCAAATTGCCAAGATACACTGAAAGAAATGTTCAACATTCTTAGCCAACAGGGAAATGCCTATCAAAATGACTCTGAGATTTCAACTTACACTTGTCAGAATAGTTAAGATCAAAAATATAAATGACAGCTTATGCTGGAGAGGATGTGGAGCAAGGAGAACACTCCTCCACTGCTGGTGGGAGTGCAAACTTGTACTTCCACTTCAAAAATCTTTATGGTGGTTTCTCAGAAAGCTACCCATCACCCTACCTCAAGACCCAGATATACCACATGGAGGCATATACCCAAAAGATGTTCAAGCATACTAAAAGGACACTGGCTTACTATGTTCATAGCAGCTTTATTTGTAATATGAAGAACCTGGCAACTGCCTAGATGCCTCTCAATTGAAGAATGAGTAAAGAAAATGTGGTACATTTATACAACGGAGAATTACTTAGCTGTTAAATGACATCATGAAATTTGAAAGCAAATGGATCAAACTTGAAAAAGATCATCCTGAGTGATAGAACCCAGACTTAGAAAGACAAACATGGTATGTACTCACATATAAGTAGGTATTATCTGTAAACTAAAGCATAACCACATATAATCCACAGATCCACAGAGAGTAAGTAACAAAGAGGGCCCAAGGGGTCATACATAGTTCTGCTGAGGGAGGAGAAATAGAAGGGGTGTCTTGAATGGACTGGAGGTGGGTAGAGATGAGAACTTGAGTGTTGGGTGGAGGGGGTGGATGGAAGAGGAGTGTACTAAAAGAGATGACTGTAAAAGGAGGTAATTCTGTGGTTGAGTAGAAACCTAGCCCAAGGGAAACTCCCAGGAATCTGCAAGGATGACCCTAACAATGATGGATATATAGCCTAAATTGGCAATCTCCTCTGACCTGGTAACTTCCAGTGGAAGGGGTGAGATGCTGGCCCAGCCACACAATCTTTGACCTATAGTCTGCCCTGCATATAGGATATAAGGGGGTAAGGGTGGCATGGAGATTGTGGGAGTGCCAAACATTGACTGGTCCAGACTTAGACCCATACCATGAGAGTAAGCACACTCCAGACACTGCCTGGAATGTTAATATCCAGAGACTGAATGACCCAGAGTCCTAGAATATAACCAAACACTAATGGGTAAAATGTAACCATAATGATGATTAAAGATATTCTGCTATACTAGTAGATCAGTAACAACCCCAGTTGTCATCAGAGAGTGGTCTGAAAAGAAATATAGAGACCCACAGCTGAGCAGTGGCAGAGCTCAGGAAATCCTGCTGAAGAGAGGGAGGAAGAATTGGGTAAACTTGGGAGCCAAGGACATCACAAGGTAATTCACAGAAACAACTAACCTGGCCTCATAGGAGCTCACAGAGATGGAACCCACAACCAGGGATCCTTCATGGAACTGACTTAGGCCATGTATATATTTTTGACAGTTGTGCAGCTTGGTCTGCTTGTGCGACTCCTGGCAGTGGGAGAAGGGTCTATCCCTAGTGCTTTGACTGACTTTTAAGAACTCATACTGGGTTGCCTCTATCTGCCTTAATACAATGAGAAGAGAGTAGACCTCAATTTGTTGTGCCATGCTTTGTTGACACCCATGGGTAGTAGCTTGCCCATTTTCGAGGAAACACAGACAAGAACTAGATGTGGGGGGTACAGAGAGTATATGGGAAAAGGAATGGGAGGGGAGAAGGAAGGGAACATGGCTGTTGGAATCTAACATATATTAATACATTTAATTAATAAAACTATTTGTAAAACTAAACAGTAATAATGAAAATAATATTTCCATTCTATCTCTCACAGACATTTCTGTTTTGACATATAAAATGATATATTTCATGCATTCATATTTCATTAGATTTTTAGTTGGTTCTTGAATTATGTATGTGATTTTGTATAAAGCTGAACTGAAGGATAATAATAGTGTGAAGTTATCACATCTAAGAAGATCTTTATTATGAATCTTAGAAGTAAAAGGACTGTGCAGATTGTCAATAATTTGAGTAGAGATACAATTTTGTAAAAGAGAAAAATGTAATGAAATGGTTAAACATTTTTCTACCTAAATTAATTTTGCTGACAACTAAACAATGTATTGGACTTTTCTTAACCACTGAGCCACCTCTCCTTCTTCTTGATGATCTTAAGAAGGATTATCAAAGCTAAAAATCAATACCACAAATTTAATCATAATTTTCCTGTAATAATTTCTAGCCATCAGTGGGTAGGGAGAATGGAATCTCACCATAAAAGGAGGCTTGAGGAGAGAGAGATGATGATGATGATATCTCTAAGGAGAGGGAAAGAAAAACACACTAAGCCATATATGAAAGCAAAAAAGCCAGCTTTTTATTTATTTACTTATATTTATTTTTATGATAATTTTTAATTTAAATTTGAAACAAGCTTGTTTTACATGTTAATCTCTCACCCTCCCCTCTTTCCCTGTCCCCCACTCCACCCCCATCCCACCCACTTTCTGCTCCCCAAGGAGGGTAAGACCATCCATGGGGGATATTTTCAAAGTCTGCCATATTATTTTGAGCAGAACTTAGGTCCTCCCCATGTGTCTAGGCTGAGAGAGCATCCCTCTATGTGGAATGGACTCCCTAAGTCCATTTGTATACTAGGGATAAATACTGATTGAATCCAGAGGCCCCATGGACTGCCCAGTTCTCCTAACATCCATGTTCAGGGAAACCAGTATAGGACCACAACCCTGAACATGGATGTTAGGAGAACTGGGCAGTCCATTGGTCCTATACTGGTTTCCTAGCTATCAGACTGGGATCCATGAGCTCTGTCTTGTTCAGGCCAGCTGTTTCTGTGGGTTTCTTCAGCCTGGTCTTGACCCCTTTGCTCATCTCTCCTCCCTCTCTGCAACTAGATTCCAGGAATTCAGCTCAGTGTGTAGCTGTGGACGTCTGCTTCTGCTTCCATCAGCTACTAGATGAAGGCTCTAGTATTTCATATAAGGTAGTCATCAATCTTATTATCAGGGAAGGGTATTTAAGGTAGTCTCTCCACTATTGCTTAAATTGTTAGTTGGGGTCATTCTTGTTCATCTCTGGACATATCACTAGTGCCAGATTTCTCTTTAAACCTATAATGGCTCCTTCTATTATGGAAAATGGGAATGAGTCTACCTCAAGATCCAGTAATTCTACTCTTAGGCATATACTCAAAACATACACATCCATGCAGCAGAGACATCTGCTCAACTATGTTCATAGCAGCATTATTTGTAATAGTCAGAACCTGGAAGCAAACTAAATGTCCCTCAACTGAAGAATGGATGGAGAAAATGTGGTGCATTTACACAATGTAGTACCACTCAGTGAAAAACAAAACAAAACAAAACAAACAAACAACAACAATACAATGGAATCTTGAAATTCACAGGCAAATGGATGGAACCAGAAGAAACCATCCTGAGTGAGGTAACCCAGTCACAAAACAACAAACATCGTAGGTACTCACTCATATATATGGATTTAAGACATAGAGCAAAAGATTACCAACTTACACTCCACACCTCAAAAAAAATAATAATAAAGGTAGGAAACAAGGAGGACCCTAAGAGAGACATACAAGGCCCCCAGGAGAAGAAATGGATAAGATCTCTAGAGCAAATTGGGAGCATGGGGGAGGGGAGAGGGAGTTAGGAGAAAGGAAAGAAGAAGTAGGGAGAGGAGGGCATGAGGGAGCAGGAAGATTGAGTCAGGAAAAGAATAGAGGAGAGCAATAAAGCCAGCTTTTTAAAAACATGTTTATCAAAGGATTCCTGAATGAAGCTCACAGAGGAAACTTTATGTCAGATAAAAGGAAGTTGTGGTACTTGACTTAAGATATGGACATTTGTTCATATTAGCAAGCTAGTTGCTTTCATTCTCTTGGATATCTCAATTTCATCTGAGCAACGTCTTAGTGTTTGGAGTGTGTAATCACAAAAATGATAGGACACAGAGTGAAGTGGAGAGCATGGTGTCCTCTACAACACATACTTTTGAATTAATCTCTTTCTCTCCACGATACTTAAAATTCAAACATGTTGTCATCCTTGCATCACTCTGACCACCCCAGCTGTCCTACTGTATTCAGAACCCTGCACAATGCTAGTCTGAATGGAGATCATTGAAAGAACCATTCACTTGCTTGCCCCCTCCTAAATACACATAGACAACCTTTCATGAGCTGACTCCCATCTGTAAAAGGAAACAAATCAAGGGCATTCTACACTTGATTGTTACGGATCCAGCATAAGTAAATTATGGAGAGATTGCCACTGAATGGAACTGAAGGGCTTAATGTTCAAAGGAATGATTTAGAAAATGATGATAAAGACTTGAAGTTATTCATTAACTGTCCAGATAGCTTGCATATTTCGTGTCATTATTTTAACTTCCTAGCAAGATGGTTAATAAGAGTGTGATGTATGAACTCAAAGAGCTTTGTGTGATCCTTAGAGCTGAGACTGTATTGTTAGCATCGGAAGAACAATTCCTGCTTCCAGAAATCTCAAAGAGAGAAACGGCTGGATGTTAACATGTATGGTAGTGAAAGACAAAATAGTAAAGTTAAAGAACCCCCCCCATACTTGAAATAAAGGACAGACTGATCTGGAATTTGCTAACTTCCCCCCACAAGGCCCTGAGATGACAGGATACCAAGAATTCATACTGTCCTTCCTTTCCCTGAGTCAACAGGTGGTAAATAGGGTCCTTAAGAAACAAAGAAGATAGCTTGCTCAAATGAGATTAATTAGCACACCCTGAGGCCCTAAGGTCTGTTGACCCTAACAGCAAGACCATCCAACCTCAAAGGGTCAAATACTCAATGGACAGAGGGTCACACCCCCTCCCTAAGCTTGTGGGTTTTGCCTTTAAAAATACCTGTGTCCTGGGGATGGGGCTTCTCTCTAGCCTGCATGCTGAGGGAGCTTCTTGAGTGTTGCAGCAACTGGACTGGACATTGAGTTCATGGGGGTACCAACTGAAACTGGGAGACTCCTCATTCTGAGGGTCTTACAGTAGAGAATCTTTCTCAAGAAAGAACAATTATGAAAGGTTAAAAATAAACCTCACAGAAATGGAATAATATAGCTAGAAACTTGAGATAACCCTTTCAAAGAATAGAAAAGGCAAGTGCTAGAAGAGAGCTAAAGCCAGCGCAACTACATGATCTTCATCAGTCATAGTCCTCTCTGAAGAATTACATATTTCAATAAAAATATGGTCAGGGAACACAGGCCACATACCTTTTCCAGCAGCTGGCGCAGCTGCCTGCTTTTGGCATCCCGGGAACACAGGTTTTGTTCTGGAGCCACCACTGTACAAATGCATCGCCCATCAGGGTCCTGCGCTGAGCTGTACACTTGCCACCCTTCTTTGGGGCTAATCTGAGTCTGGAGGAAACCAACAGCAAACACAAAACAGACTTTCACTATAGGGTAAGACAACAGCTTTGTAATAGCATCAGGGAAAATTTTACTATTTTTTTATAATAGGGTTTTGTTGTCTTTATGGGGATTTTTGTTATTTTTGTTTTGTGAGTGTGTAAGTATGTACAGTTCTGACAAGCACTTGTGTCCTCAGGATCTTTACATCTTGTGTTGGAGAAAGGTTCTCTCACAGGTGTGGATTGCCTCAAAACCAGCTGGCCAGCAGTCCACAGCAATCTGTTAATCTCTGCCATAGTTGCTTTCTATGTTAGTACTGAAGATCAAATTCAGGTCGTCACATCTGTATAGTAATTAATTTCCCTACTCAGCTACTTCCCTAGCCTTTGATTCTTTGAAACTGGAAGAGAAATCATGAACAACTGATATTCGTAGCAGTTTAATTCTGTTTCACCTTCTTTACAAATGTCACAATGAGGTTTGTGGTCTCAGAATCTTCACTGTTTACTGTCTTTGGATATCAATCACTTATAGTACTTTGTGCAGTTTTGGATTTGAACTCCATTCTTAAGTATTTCTACTAACAACTTCCTTGGCTCTTACTGGTCTTTCTACATTTTTCTACTATTCATGTAATTAATAGTAGATACTTTCTTAATCATTTTGCATGTTTGATATCCTGAAATAAAGCCCCAAATGATCTTCTGAAAAAATCCACAACATACTCCCGTAGTCACTGGACATCTAGCTTAAAAAGTAGCATCCTAATTGTGTTGCAATCTGCTTCCCATTTACATTGACAGTTTTACCTATTGCACTGTCCAACAGTGGCCTTCACTCCAGCAAAGTTGGTTTCTATGTGTCTGATCAATTCAAAAGACTTTGAACTGCATCATATAGTATTACTATTCATATGATAATTAGTATATTCTGTATAGAAATGTGAAAATTTCCTTTCATTCTTTATTCTATCAAGTGAAAAGAATGTGATAGTTTGTCTCACTATTGTTTTCTTTTTCAAGACAAATCTCTGTAGATTTTGAAATAATGTACACAGACAGAGCACCTCTTCATTCTATGTATGGTAGTGGAAATGTCCTTCCATGACTAGTCATGAAACTGCAGAAACTGGAGGTGTCTCTGTTAGCAAACTTGAATATTTCACTTTTCCATCTTAATTTTTTTCTCTTGTGTCAGAAGTTTTGAGAATGGCTTGGCATGCCTTCCAGGCACCGTTGTCCCACATGCTTAGAGCATTAATGTTTCTTCTCTAATTACACATTGCTTTGAGGATCTCCTTAACTGAAGATTGGTGCCTTGGTGAATTCCACTGGGCAGCCAGCCCCACTGACTTACTGATAAATCCCTAAGAAGAACCAGTAAAGAAACAGAAAGTGCTGCTACTGCCATTCGTCTCACAAGATGGGGTGTTGTTTCCGATTTTAATGCCCTACCATTCTTCCCATACGCTGTTGTCATCTCATATAAAAAGCCATATACTGGGTATGGTGTTGTGAACATATATTGGGAGAGTCATAAACTACAGACTCAAGAAGCTTATAAAGATATTATAAGTCTTGCCTTTGCTTTTTAATGAAAAAAAAAAAATGCCACCAGATCTTTTAGTCTCTTCATAGCTAATTTTTTTTAAAATGGTAATTCTTACCCTATTTTTTATTCCTGAGTGTATTGACTTCTTAATATAACCTCTCTTTTTATATATCACTAATCACTTTTAGGTCTTATTCCTGCATATCCAGTTAAAGAAAAAGATGTTCTTAGAATCATATATTACTAAAATTAAATAATATATCAACAAGAAGTAGATTATCTGTTTTAGTTATACGAGAAAAATTCAGAGATTATCCACAGGATGAAAATAGAAATGACTTAATGACTTAGTAGAGTAGTTTTTATGATTTAATTGATGGCTTAAATTGAGCAATGGTTGGGGGTTAATATCTCTGGACATAGCGCCTTTGGGCTTCTTGTAACATTGAATACAAATCTGAAATATGCCAGAAAATGAAGGCTTGTCTCTGCCATAAATTTAGCTTTTGGACAAAGGAGCAGGGCCACCCACTTATCTTATTAAAATATTTTAAGAGTAGTGCAATCACTTATTGTTAAGGCTGTCAACATTTATACTGATGTGAACCTGCTTAATTCTCTGTAGCAATAGTGCACCTTTTCACACAGGGCCATATGGTGGTCACTATCTGTTGTTAACACAACTGGAAAAGATGAACAGGGTTTGCTGTTCATTTAGTGTATTCCTTGGCACCCCCCTGCTTAATGACAGTAAAATGTTCAGCCATATTTATACCTTCAATTGTCTCCTTCTAAGAATTATTGAAAAGTTGTGCCCCTCTAGACTTCAGTAACTTTGAATAATCCAAAGTATAAAATCTCCCCTTTCTGTTGAGAAAATCAAAGTCTCAGCAGTTCTATAGATTTTGACGCCAACCCCTGTATTGGGGACAACGACAATGGCAAATGGAGAAGCTTTGTAAGTATTTCTAGCACTCTCTTTTAGGGTTCCCAGATAGCACTGAAAAGACAACCAAAATAAAACCAGCTGTGATCTCAGGTAGAAGGACACATTTAGATATTTTTGGATACCAAGGACAAAAGTCATGCTCCAATTCTGACTTACAATAACAATTATTCAAATGTCAGTAAAACTCATGTAGCAGGAAGATCAAGTATTTGTGGATCTCTGACTGCTGTGGGGAGGATTGTGTAACTTGCTGTCCCTTAATGTCTTGATATTTTTGAGTTCTAGGTGATACCATTCTGACAAACCTTACAAAAAAAGGAACTTTGTCACACTCCCACAGAGAATAATCAGTAGAACTTGGGTTTGAACTTCTATAGTCTAGTCACAGAATATGCAGTTTAAAACCATATTGAACTATCAGTTATCTCAGTGTCCTTTAATACGTAATGCTATTATCCCAATATAGCATCTATTTTTATTATAGCATAAAACAATAGTTGGACCTGTAAATTGATTACAGTTGATTATGAACTGCCCAAAAACATCCACACAGCCATTACTGATACAGTTTTCTTTGAATTCTTTGTGTTAATTAGAAGAACTAAATGCGCTATTTAGCAGTTTTTAATATTACAACACTCATGAAATATTTAAGGAATACACTAAATACGAGAATTGAAACATTCATTCAACAGTTCTATCTGGTCTGAGTTCTTTGATAATAATTTAATTACAGATCTATGCTTTATAAACTTAAATATACCATCTGACAATTCTCCTGAACGACAGGAATTTATGTCAGGAAAGATGCATCCTGAGAGACAGAAAAAGAAGAACAATACACAGTGCATTTCAATAGGATTTCCTTATACATCCCTTCTCTTGTAATTTGATTCATTTCTTTGGAACCAGTTGTTCTTAGAAACAGACTGTGTTTTATGTTACTTACAAGGAATACACAATGTAAAGAACTGACAGCAATTTTTGTCCAAGCCACCATTAATAATACCAATGTATATGTTTTCTACAGCGTTCAGTCTAGAGTTCTCTCTGTTCATCCACTATGCCCATTTACTGACAGTCCTACACAAGACTGTAGAGGAAACAAACTTCCCCTACCTCTAACCCCAGCAGCTGATTCTCAGCGGGTTTTGGGCATTACCTTTGTGGAAACATGTGTCAACTTTGATGCCAGAGAAACAGCAAGGTAAGGGCTATGCACATTCATTACTCCTACAAGAGGAAATGCAGTCATTTCCCAGGGCCCAAACAGCATAGAAGGCCAAGGGAAGGATCCCTCAACTTTGAATAGAAATAAATTGGCAGATTGAGCATTATTAGACTTTGCTTTTCATATTCAATTTTTAGGCAATTCACAAAAACAAAGACTGATGAAGAAAGAAATGAGGGAATCAAAGTACCAAAAGTGGGGTCTGACACAGCAGATGTAAAGTAGAAAAACATTCCTTCATTAAAACCTAGATTTAAGAATGGAACTGAGTAATGAAAACCCCTCATAAAGTTCCTATGTAAGAATGCATCTGATTCTGAAGAGTGAAGTGGGGTGGAGTACTCTAATGACTTTGGTTAATAAGAAAGTGAAAATGTGAGGATAGGAATTAGAGGGAGGTTGAAAGATCATGCTAGAAAATATATAGGGGAGGATGTGTTAATAAAGATGTCATTCTGTAGCAGCTTTCTTGTTATTACTTAAAGACACTTTGGGACTGAAATAAATAACTATTCTTCATTTATGGAAACTTCCATGCATAAGGGGGGAAATACCCTCAGCCATGAAAATGAAATTAACAATAGCGACAACAAAAGCATCCTCAACTTTAGGTAGCCATCTCTGTCCATATTGCTTGAAAATCCAGATGAGTTGGGAGTTGGGAAGAGGTTTAGAAGTTTTATTTCATTATGTCTCTCTCCAGTGGAATTTTATGTTCACATTTTTTGTGTATTTGTGTGTGCTTCTTGTTGACCTCTGCTTGATAAGGACTCAGGGTTTCATACACAACTATTATGGAAAACTGAGGGTAGTGACTTGAAATTTTCTCCAGAAACTTTCTTATTAGTCCCCACTTTCTTCAGTATTTCAAACAAGAGTAAATCCATTCTTGTCTTTTGATGATGCTTCTCTATAAAAAGGCAATTATCACATTTCCTATTATTTTCAAGATTTACTACTCTGAGCTTTCAATCAACTCCAATTTGATTTGTTGTCCTATCACATAAGAGACATTGCCTAAGATTTTGGGAGACAATCAGTCAGATTTACAAAAAAAAAAAAAAAAAAAAAAAAAAAAAAAAAAGGATATGTGTTGGAAAGTTAACATGTACAAGGCCCTGGGCTCTTTCCTTACCACTGCAAAACAAACAAACAAAAGGTCCCAAACACCCCCCCCCCAAGTCAATAATAGCTAGTAAAATTCTAAACTCCAGAACTATATTTGTTATTTTAGGGTAAACTCCTTGGAGAATTACTGCCACTGTGTTTCAGAGG